TGTTTACGTTTTCCGGCTGTTCCTTCGCTTGCCGCACCAATCAATATTTGTAGGCGCCCTTAGGAACTCCCTCTCTTTACCATTGTGCTACATGGCGCCCGCGAAGGCCGAGAAGAAGCCGGCTGAGAAGGCACCGGCGGAAAAGAAGCCCAAGGCCGAGAAGAAGATCTCAAAGGAGGGAGGTGACAAAAAGAAGAAGAAGATCAAGAAGAGCACGGAGACTTACAAAATATACATTTTCAAGGTCTTGAAGCAGGTCCATCCTGATATCGGTATCTCCAGCAAGGCTATGGGAATCATGAATAGTTTCATCAACGATATATTTGAGAAGCTAGCTCAGGAGGCATCGCGATTGGCCAGGTATAACAAGAAGCCCACCATTACGTCCCGGGAAATTCAGACCGCTGTGCGTTTGGTGCTACCTGGGGAATTGGCTAAGCACGCTGTTTCCGAGGGTACCAAGGCGGTTACCAAATTCACTAGCTCTTAGTTTTGTAATTGGATCGTGTTCGAATTTGTTGATTCTGTGTTTGAGATCTAGGGTTTCATATGGAATCATTTTAATTAGATATTATTCTCTAGCCTAGGGTTATAAATTTGTTGTTCTGAACAGTTCTTAATGAAAGTCTAATTTAAAAGTCATTTTTCTCTTGAATGAGCATGCTTCTTTTTCTTTTTTCGGCGGCAAATTATATTAATGGGTTCCTCGGTCTCATTGCTGGATCTGTTGTGTCGGCGCTGGGACCGTTTTCATCTTTTGACATGACGAAACGAATCGGTCAATCTTTACTTTCCTTCCATTCACAGGGCGGTTCCCATTGTCTCAACATACATATCTCCTGAGGTAAAATATTCCTTCATTCAATTCCAGTGAATGCAAACCTCTTAAGAGATATGTTCGGGATAGCCAATTCGTTTAAAATGGTGAATTTATCAGAAACCCTGTGGGTGGTATCGTACATTATCGATTTTCCGGTTGATTACCAAATCATTTGATAGTCATCTGTATCTGGCTGGCTTTTAGCTTTAATTGAAGGCTGATAATTTGTACGATTTCTCTTCATGTGATGAGATTACTTTATGAACAGGAAATTTTGATTTCAGTTCATATTTATGATATGCCTCTAGTCGGCCGCTGACTCGGGCGATGTTGTTATTTCGGTTTCGTTGATGCCGAGGTTCCATTTTTGGCTTGGAACGAATGATCCTTAACTCGGTAAAAAGAAAAAATCTAGTGCTAGTTTATAAATATTGCACTAGATCTGTGAACTAGCTCTTATGTAGCAGTAATTCTTGTTAAGAAATTGACCCCTAAATGATAGGAGTAAGAAGCATCATAAAGCATTCTTTGCTATAGCTTATATTTCATGGTATTGACCCCTAATTATTGCCTTGATTAGAGTTTACAGCCTGCATGCAGAATACCAGATCGGAGTTTGTTTTTCCAGCAAAGCTAACGCTATATTCTACTTTATTTTAATCATTTGTTTTATTCCAGAATCATTATTATTACTTTAAAATTAGAATAAGGCATTAATCCTTTTTTTTTTTTTTATGCTTCTGAACTTCTTTGATTCTTGAAAATATGCAAGATTGTTAATGACTCACGAAAATAAAATTTATATAGTTTAAACTTTAAACTCTTAGTAGTTTTCTCATTGTTTATGCATTATCCGAGATAATTTTGTTAGTCCATTATTTTGGAAAGAAACTCACACTAGAATGTTGTAAACATCATTTTAGCATTTCTCTCATGACTATTGACTATACTGTGTTGAGAGTCCGAAACAGAACATGCAACCCTCCTTTCGGTTTTTCTTTTTTTAAATTTTTAAGGCTTTACCCAGCTTTTACTAAAAACGTGTATTCTTAATAAAGCTAATACAATTTTCTTCAAAATTTAAATTATAAGTTTTTATTTCTCAAACAGCAAAGTGATTTAAGTTTTATTATAAGGATGGATATTTTAAACAAATAAAAAAACTTGAGGAGTGTGAAAATTGTATTTATCCTTCCCGATATATAAATTTTAGTTTGCAATTCAATTCACACCTCATACCGTACGTTGCTACTCTAATTGACTTAATTGGCATGTCTTTTGAACATCTCGATCTTCATTGATCTCTCACAAGTAACCAATCACTCCAACCCATCGCTTACCAACTCATGTTCAGCCACACGATTCCTCACCTCACTTGCTCGGCCTCTTCAATTCCCAACGATTACATTCCTTTTGCCAGGATTCATTAACGCTGTGTTTGGCTCGATAGAGGGAAGGGGAGGGGAGGGATTTTAATCAAGGGAAGGGGAGGGAGGGAAAGGGAGGGTAGCTACAAAGGGAGGAGAGGGAGGAGGAAGGAAGGGAAGGGATTTTAATGATCTCCTGTTTGGATTGATTGGAGGAGAGGGGAGGGAGCAATTTTAATAATACCTTATTTTGTTCTAATAAAAAATTGACTATTTTAACCTTATAAAATTTAAATGAATTTTCTCATTTTTTTATTTTGTTAAGATATAACTGTATATATAATAAAATTCACCAATTTTGATTTACAAGACATAGTCACACACTTATAGTATATCAAGATAAAAAGTCACGAGTGATAGATTTTAATCAGAGAAAAGACCAAAAACCTCTTGGAATTAGAAGAAGAGAAAAAAAAAGTTTACAAAGTTTACAAATGCTCACTAATTTTGGAGACAATTATCTTAATAACCTCTTGTTAGATGCTAAAAAAAACTCTCTTATGTAGAAATGTTTACGACTAATTAGAGGTTAAAAAATCAAAAGGGTATATAAGGAATTAAAATATTATCTCTCATCTCCCCTTCAAAAAACCCCACTTTTGGAGGGGAGACTAGAAGAGAAGGGGAGGGGAGAAGAATCCCTCCCCTTTTTAAAAAACATTTTAACCAAACGAAGGAAGGGGAGGGGCTCCCCTCCCCTCCTAAAAAATTACACCAGCCAAACAAGGGGAGGGGAGCAACTCCCCTCCCCTCCCCTCCAAAAATCCCGTACCAAACATAGCGTAAGTGTCCTTTGATTTTGCCTTTCCCCAAAGTCTAACATGATACTGATTTCTTTTTCTTTTGCTCCCTTTCTCTCTTTTTATTTTTTTTTTGGGAATTACTTCACCCGGTATTTTAAATCAGTTCCTATATCACAAAAAACTGAAGAGGCTCAAATTAATTCGCATTCAGCCATCATAGGACCCCTGGGACAGCTAACCTACCACCAAGTATTTAACACTGTTACATGCCCAAAACTCAAACTCAAAACCTTTGATTAAGTTAAGACAACCCGTTACCAGCCTAAGCGCTTGTGGTTTTCTCTCCATTTTTTCCATCACAACACCGCATATTTTACCACCGAGTCCATGTAAATAGGAGAAATCTCTATCTTTAGCCAAATACTACTCCCGCTTTCAATATATTATTATTTTGAACAATTGATGGCTCAATTCCCAGCCACTTCCATAATTAGGAGATATCAATCCCTAGGGTCTATTGCCACATTATCAAAATTCAAAGAACCGGTTCTATTTGACATTCTTTGCTCTGCCAACAGATTTGCAATTAAACAGACACTTCAGATAGATTCAAGATCTGAATCCTCATTTTAAAACCAGTTAACACCAGCTCCCTATCTCCCTTGATACTCTGGACAAAATTCACAGAATTGAAAGATGGAACTTGAGCATCAAAGAGCTGTCATTTCATTTACTAGAAATAAAAACAAGGATAGTGACACCACGGTTACAATATCCCTACGAACCAAGATACAGGCTATCGACTACATACAGAGATTAATAATTCACAGAATTTATGCCTTCTTAGGCGACTTCGTGGCTTTGGATGGGGATTTAGTTTCCTTGACCGCCTTCTCATTCTTCTTAGGCAGCAAAACAGGATTTATGTTAGGCAACACACCACCATGGGCAATCGTTACTCCAGCTAGAAGCTTCCCTAATTCTTCATCGTTCCTCACCGCCAGAAGAACATGCCTCGGGATGATCCGGTTTTTCTTATTATCCCTAGCAGCATTGCCAGCCAGCTCCAGAACCTATAAAGGAATTAATTGAATTTATGAGATCATCATGCAAATCACTGAATTCAATCAAAGAATTCGATACTCCAATCGATAAAAAGAACCAAGCCATAAGCACTCCAATCATTGTTACCGCCTACACTCCATAAGTCAGAGACAAATTCAATTTTTGAGGTCTCCAATGAACCCTAAGACGGCATGAAGAAATTCAGAAAAAAGACGCTGAAGTAGAACAATAAGCATCGGCGAACAAACTGGATAGAATTGGAGTCCAATACTACCTCAGCGGCAAGGTATTCGAGAACGGCGGCAAGATAAACAGGAGCTCCAGTTCCGACACGTTGAGAGTACCTTCCTTTCTTCAGGTACCTGCCGATCCGTCCGACGGGAAACTGGAGGCCAGCTTTGACGGAGCGAGACACCGGCTTCTTCTTCGGACCACCTCCTCTCCTACCCCCGGCACCTTTCTTCAACTTTCCACCGGCGTCCATGAAGCGAAAATTAGATAATCACTCACACAACCCCAAGAAAGAAAAAGAAATAAGAAATTAATCTTCTAAGCTATTCTAAAAATCTGTGTAGGCTGGCTCAACTTATCAAGGCTGGCATTTATACTACGGATAGGGCCCTCGGGAGGGCGCATGCCGGTTTTGCGCCTGATTGATGGTAAGCCGTCGGATTTTAAAGGAATCTACGGTTTCGAATATAGGCACTGGCAGTCCGTGTGATGGATTGATGACCAATGGTGCTACGCCGCGTGTCCAAGGCCGATGAAACTTCATTAAAAAAAAAGAATATATAGATTTCTTTTCCTGCAAAAAAAGAACATAGAATGGATGGAGAATCCGAATCTCGGGTAATCAGTAGTACTTTTTTCGTACTTAATATAACACATATTTAACTAATTTGATTATATTAAAGAAATTAGGTAAGTTAGTTAATTATAAGAAACATGACACATTTTTCTTAAAACACCATAATCATTTTTCTTAATACCTCTTCTTCCTCTTTTACTTGATTATGGTTGAATGAGTATCTATAAGGGTAATTTAAAGAAAATTGATAAATATGATAAATGAATCTTATATTTAGGACCAAACCCAACTCAATAATTAGGTCTTATATTAAGGATCAGAGGAGTATTTAAGACAAATTTTAATTTTTAATTTAATTATTGCTTTAAACTATCATCTTTGGTTTTTTTAGGCTTAAGTATCCTCTTATTTAAGATAGTTCAAAACACTCCTAGACACTAAACATAAATATTTTTTTCAACAGAAATGTAAACTTTCTTTTAAATTTTTTTTTTGCATATGAACCTTTAAGCTTTTGCAATTGAACAATGCTCTACCTATTGGCAGTGCAACAAAAAGCATCTTCGAGCTTTTGCAATTCAACAATACTCCTTGAATTTACAAATAACTGAACTGAATTATGTAGACAAAAATGTTAAAAATCAATTAAAATTAATTAAATATAATTTTTTTTTATATAGAGTGAAAGGGTAGAGTACTAAAAAGATTAAGATTTATAAAAGGTCGGGGCTGTTTAGTTGAGCGGTAGAACTCATCCTCTCTTAACCAAAATCAAAAATCCCTGTTTTGATATGAAAGGCGTTAAATTCTTTGGCTAATTATCCTACCATTTGAGGTGCCTCCAAATTAGCGAATCCTGATTAGTCTAGGCCATTGACATACCTGAAAGATGGTTTGCCTAGGATGCTGGATGAGATCACTAAAAAAAAATCAGGAGGTATAAAAGTATTTATATTAATTTATTTTAATAATTTAAAACTATATAAGATAATTACGTTAAAAAAATTATCTCCTAAAGGATTTTTTTTCAACAACTGCTAGGCTTATCAAACAAGCTCAGGTGAGGAAAAAAAGCCCTATCAAAGAGGGCACATAGGCTTGAGTTGGGCGTGGGCGCCCACGTGCGAAGAGAGATGTGAAAAAGGATTAAGCTGACTTGTATAGCGGATAAATGGGAGCATTTGTTGGTATTTGGTTCTGTCGATGATTCTATGTTGTTGGGCTTTTAGCCCCATTTTGTTAAAAAGAAAAAAAAAAATTAATAGCAAGACTGGTCTTGACATGGATCAGGTCAAAAATATCCCCAAGAACGCACAGAAAGGCTGCAAGAGGGCACCATACGATTGAAACGTGTACGTTCCAGATTTGGTCTCATCGACAGACCATTGCTCCTACAATTTGATCATTGACCTAAAGATTCCTCTCGTATAAATAACAAATGTGAATCTATCTTTCCTCACCTTCATCCTAATCCAATTTCTGATCGCACTTTCCCGGGCTTCTCGTTCAGACACAGGGATGCCTGTTATCTAATTAGTATGATCCTTAATTTCTCAGTTTCCGAATCGATCCGGTTTTAGGCCTACAATTTGATTTGGAGGTTCAGTTATCTTCAATCCAAAGCTGGTTTGATAGTGAACGTGGAGAGGTTTTTTGATTTGTTGGCTTATGAATTAGGGTTTCGAAGAGCATATAATAATGCCTTCGGTACCCATTGAACTAATGCTAGGCCCTATCTTTCCTTCTTTGATCAATTTCCATGGCGGATCCTCCTCTCATCGTCTGAAACGTCTTGAAAAAGGTGATCGGCGTGGTAATCTTAGTTAACGATAGGATTTTCGTGTCTTTCATTTCTATTTTTTGGGTCTGTTTTGGTTCCCTTTTTGCGGACACCTGTTTTCGTTTCTTCTCGTTTTACGTTTGCTCGTACGAGCTGTAAGGGAATCCATCTAGAGATTGGGGATTGAGGGTCGATCTATTCAGTTTCTTGTCTTCGTGTCACTTTCGACATTTGTGAAAGCTTGCTGGGACGCTTTTATTCTGAGCGCTGTCGATCTGAAAGCCGTTGCTCAAGGTATAATTGCATATGCTCACTGTACTTATTTTGTTTGATTCAGAAATTTTTTTTTAAGGATTGTTGTGAGATAGACTAATTGCTGATTGTTCTCTGTATTGAAGCGACTATCCATTTTATCTGATTTTTACTTCACTAAGTGGTGTGATCGATTATGGATTCAGTGAGAACTTCCCGTTTTGTCTTCTCAACTGACCTGTTAAGTTATGGCTGTTGGATTTGTGATGTTTGTTAGTTGTTTTCACTTCTCACGTGCTGTATAAACTAGCACCTCAGAGCCCAGCCATTGTTTTCAATTTTCGTAGTTGAGAAAAAGGTTTCTTGTTCAGCCCGTTTACTGTCCAAAATTTTAAGAAAATCGGCATTTTTTATTTCTTCAGGAATTATAGACCTAATTATAAGATATTAGGCTTGGTCCAAGACAACACGGAGGTTTTACAAACTACGCAAATGCCTCATTAATAAACCTTCTTACTTCAGGATATTCGAGGTATATAAACTACCGGAGTCTGATGTTAGTCATGAATTATCTTGGAAAAATGAGACTCTAGAACCATTGTCCAAAAGTTATATTGAACAAGAGGCTGTGGCCCTTTATGTTCAGGTAGCACGGGAAACACAATGGAGTGCCCACTTGATTTTCTCCTCATCTCTTACGGCCATACTCAATATATTGCAGTTAACTGGCTAGTTGCTCTTTAGCGATCTGATAATTGGAGTATTCATGTGACTATGCATGTATAAGCATCTCGACATCCAATTTTACCGCCACATTGCTATTTAGTATTTTTTTCAATTTCCTTCCATTTGAAATTTTATGCTTATCACATTGATTACGCATATATTTATCCATGAAATCTCTATTATAGCTTGTGGTCTTGCTCACTATCATCCTACGACCATCCTCTACTATATTTTTATGGCCTTACCATCTTTAGCTCATTCATATCTTCCTAGTTATGGAGAAAAATATGCCTTGCTTGTTTGTGAAGCTTATAATGATATCTCACTATTTTTTTATTGCAGATCATTGGTAGTTATGTTGAGACCATTTGACTTCTTTTTCTTATTATAATAATTGGCCTTCTTTCTTTCCCTGTAGCACTTGATGCAATCGATGGATCTGCATTCTCCTCCTAATGCTGCGGATAACAACTATATAAGCTCCCTTGAAAGTAGTTTCAGTGACTCATTACGTATTCAAGATGACCAGAAATCAGAAATTCCACTGGAGGAGACTTGTAACTGTAATGTGGTGGAGCGTCTGCGTGGAGCTTTTGAACAGCAAGATGTGGAACTAAATAACAAGTGCTTGAACAGGTGTGCGACCTTTCCTCATCCGGGCATGATTTTACCTCCAAGCTCTTCGAATGCTGAAGATGGGAAGGCTAATGCGTCATTGCCAGAGTCCCTCTTTGAGCAGTCTGCACATCAAACCTATGCACGATCAATATCTCTGCCTGTAAGTTCTCAATGTTTTAATGTCCGCATATTATTTTGATCAAACAAAAGTTGTTTGAAATCTCTGTTACTCAATTTTCAATTTATTTTTATCTTATCCTTTGGCAATTGCTGAAGAAAATCCTAGCAGAGTGGAAGTGGACTATTTAATCTGCATACTATTTAGCGACTTTAGGCATTAAATCTGCATAGTCGCTTTCAGATGCCAACATGAATATCATTTATTGCTGTGTTGTACGTTTTGCATCTGCACTAGCATTTTTGAGTAATTTGACGCGTTGAAAATGGGAGTTGCACTCAGCAACGAACACTATTGTGTTGATCATGCGGGATTTGGGGTCATGTGTTGGTATCTCTGTTCAAGTGTTTTGAATGTTTTATTTTCTTGGAATTTGTACATGTTTCTAGCCAGAAAGAGGTAGTGTGGTCTATTTGAACAATATTTTGAGTATGATTTACCGTAGCACGGATGGTTACATGCTTTAAGCGGTTTTATCAACATTTTTGTTTGTGCCGGGATTAGGAAAGGTGTTATATTCTAACGGACAGGCGTGTATTCAGATTTCAGAATGACCTTGCTTTTTATTGCCTAATGACCTTCATTTTTTTGAAATGCCTTACATCAGACTCCTTTGAAGCCTGTGTCTGCAATGAAAGGTAGCCGTGAGAAGCAAGGGGGATCGCAAATGAAATTGACCGTGAAATGGGCCCCTGATGTGTATGATCCAGTGCCTACATCGTTATCTCATACTGTTAAAAACAGGAAACAGCAGAAATCCAGGAACAAGAAGAATGATAAGAAAAATGGAAAGAAAAGTCAGAAGGGAAATTCTTCTCGAGGGGCCAAGGATAAGAAGCAGCTTCGCAAAACCTCCGTGACTTCTGATTTGTGCTATAAGCTACCGGATTCTCGTGATAAGGTGATAGAAACTTCAACTGACTTTGATGCTCTTGATGTTAGTACGCAAGATTCCTATTGCGGAACTAGCTTCTTAAAGAATTCACTTACGAAAGTACACTTTTCAGTTGCCGAAGCCCTGTAAGTCATATCCGAGTTTTTGCTCTTATCTTCCTCATTGTGCATAAATAAATATTTTCTTTCGGTCAGCGTGTCCAAACATTGGATTGTATGTTAGTTCGGTTTTGTTTTCATGCATGAACTAAAACATTTTGTGCTATTTAGAAAGCAGCCTGCTTTGGATTTGCATATCATACTCAGCGTTGCTTTCAAAATTCTGCCACAACAGTGAGTGAACATGTTTCACATTGTGATTATTTTCCAACATCCCATAAAAGTTCGGACCAGCGTAATTAATGAGGCTATGCTAACTGATTACACGGTAAAGGAATCTCACTTCAGTCAATTCGTGCGCCACGCGCTTATCTTATAGCAGTTATCAATGGTTTAAATCACGAATATGAATTTTCTACATTTCTTCTGCATAAAGATTGTCTCGGACGTGGTCGAAGTTTCGAGGTGTTTTCTTAAGAAACATTCTACGTGAAGACAGCTAACACTAAACGATGGTTCTCAAAATATGCAATTCGGAAACCTTCAAAATCACTTTAAAAGAATAATTACGTCTGTCAAAATAAAGCTTATCTTATAAAATTAGTACGATACAAACAGTCCCTAAGTGAATTGGTCATCGACGTCATTAGCGTCACTTGTACGCGCGCCAAACTGCTAGTTCGAAGACAACTCTTCGTTTTGGCCGAAGTTCGCTAAACAATTTGAGTGCAACTGATTAGAGTATAATCCAAGGATATGAAAATAAACGTCTTCGCCTCTGCATTACCGAGACCCCAAACATCTGTGACATACGAGGCAAACGTAGTAAAATTGTCGTCTGAAAATTAATGTTAAGCACCGAAAGTGGACAAGATCGGCTCCGTCGTGTTACCCAGTTTAATTATAATTCATGACACATCCTCAGTGTTCTTAAGATTTTTTTTGGTTGCCTAAGGTCTCTCCCCAACGGAATAAGAAGAGATTAATCTCCTGAAATAGTGTCAGACACCATAGTGAGAATTTCTCCTAACAATATTTTTTCCATACACATCGGCTCAAAATTAAATTCAGGACATAATATTTAAAATGCCCAAACTCTTTCCACTTAGACCAAAAATTATTAGTCTCTTCTTAAGATTAATTCAACAGATTTTGGAGCATTTGCATACAAGTCAAAATATAGCATTTAAAAGGGGAAAATATTAACGAGAAACTACCAAAAGCAGCTCAATAAATCCAATATTTACGCATGTCAAGAGTTGTAATTGTTTTGTTGAAAATAAATCAATTCATTACAGAGCCTATTTGAAATGGGAGATATTAGGCCCATGCAAGCAAGGGCCGAAATTTTTATATCGGTCGAGCATGAGACATCATACCCAACGAGGTATATGTACAACTTACTATGGTTTGAAAGTTACAAAAACGGAGTTATGCATCTTGAACATAAATCAGTTCATCATGAAGCTACACACTAGAAAACTCATAATACAAAAAAGAATTTTAGCCAGCATGCATGCCAATTGGAACAAAAAATCGGGGTCAGCATGCGCTCTCTTTTCAACTTTCAAGTCACGTTGCGTTTTCCCCATCTTTCACCCTTTCTCTTCTATACTAGACGGTACATTAAGAACCAGAGACGGAGCTGGCTGCCTACCTAAAGCTCACAACCCCGACAGCTCTTCCCTCCTTTTTCCCTGTCAAACAGGGAATAAAAGAGAGAAAATAGCAGCAATTACAGCAAGGAATGCAGTCTAAATGAATAAATAATCAGCAGGTGGTCACAACACCAGACACGGGCTTACAGCATCATTCCATCGCCAGCTGCACTGTCTTCTCCAGCATCGAAGTCTTGTTAAAGAGGGTGAGCTGCACCTCTCTGAGATATTTGGATAACTGGCCAATATAAAATATTTGAAATGGTTAGCCACTAGTAAACATATGCCACTGTTTATTAAAGATCGAGCCCACCATAATGAGCATGTACTTTTATCAGGTTCAATATATGACTAAGAAACTAAAAATTGAGACATGTTTTAGTTGCGCCAATCCTCTGGCACAGGTACCTTTGACACACATAGTTTGAATGCAAACACACCAAGTGTTTTAATGTAGTCATACAACAGTGATTCACTACCCTAGCAAAAGATCTTAAAATCAAACATTCACGTCTGAGAAAACTCACAGCAGAACCTAATTTGAACGAGGCTGTCAATATCCATGTATGCAAATATTAAGGCATTTTTGTTGACTCCTTATTATCAAGTTATTCTACACCGACGACTCAAATTCATTACATTCTTAAGCAATCAGATGTTGACATCTACATTTCATGGCCTGTAAATGCAGAATTAATCTAACCTGGTCTTCAGTCAGCTTTCGGAAGCCTAATTTTCTAGTCCAAATGGATTCAGCATCCTCAGCTGCAGGAAGCACTAGCTTTTCCACCTTCAGGGAGAACAGCAGCTTCTCTATGCAAGAGAATAACACTTGAAAATAACCCTAAATAGAACGTGAAATAAGTTAATGAAAGATTATCTTTGCTATACATTTATTCCCTTTTAAAATCAAAGGAAGGTATTTTTGGCCCAAAAAAAAAAATATCAAAGGAAAGTGAAAGGATTGTTGAAGCAAGCAGCCAGTATAAAGCACTCATAATTCAGTGTTTTCAAAATTTGGATCAAGCGTGATTATGCAATGAAACGCTTACTTTCCCTTGATGTTCTCTACTTGTAGCAACCATTGGAAGCTCAGCAACATGACTTCCAAAAATCCTAAGCAGTCCAGCAGATACAACAACAGATCTGTGCAATGGGATACACCTTGATGTCACATACCCAATAGATGATGCCCTATCAGGAGGGAAAAACCCTTTTCCATAAAAAAATTGTAATAAAAAAAGCCACATACTTCACTATCAAAACAACACAATACATCCCACCAAACTCTTGGCCAGAAATATTTCTCCTGCAAAAAATTCAGAATGTTATTTATCAATAGATATGTCATAAGTGGGTCATGAAACCCAAGCATTGGTTGATATGAAATCTTATACAAACAATTGTAGTTTATGTGGCCCCAAAAATTAAACGAGGTGCTCACCCATAGACCATAACAGGAATCAGGTCACGACCAGAGACTGCAACAATGGGATCAAAACACTCCTGCAAATTCATAAATCGCAATATGAGAAAGGACTCGTCAAGACAAAAAGGTTATTCTCAAAACAAAGTTGCCATTATTGTTTATGCAAGACCCATTCTTTATTCTTAATTTGCCACTTTGACCAATTAAAATTATGCGCAGAAAATGAAGGAAAAGATTAAAATTAACATCCACAAAAGCAGTTCTATCAACTTAGAGAAGCTAATAATGTGCAACATGTGCAAATATGATATCATTGTGGCATGTGCCCATATGAAGTCAAATATAACAGCTGCAAAATTAGAAGCCACGGGAAATTTCAATGAGATAAACAAAACTCACTCGAAAAATTGCAGCAGCCCGAGAAAGTAATGGTAGATGTTCTGGATAACGACTTTTTCCGCTTAGAATTCGCCATTGGATATCATCAATGCCTCCTCCATCAATAGGTAAGCCCCTCTCCTCACGCTTCCTATTTATTAGGACTGACAAGGAAGCTGGTATAATCTCTGATCCAGCAGAAACTGAATTTTGCAGGGCCACATATATTCGATTGCAGTCATCACAACAAAACCACTTGTCCTTGGGCAATTCCTGAGGGAAAAAACAACATATAATTAAACGGAATTACAAGTATCATAAAAGAATTTGCTACAAGATTTGATACTTACTTCCAACTCACAGAGCCCACTGTCCCGCAAGCACCCAACATGATACTCCTTCTCACACTGGTTAATAACCAATAAGATGTTTACTGGACTTAAAAAACAAGACACCAAAATACAATAAAAGATTTCATCACGTATACACCATACCTGATCACAAATTATAACTGTTCGCTCATCAAATTTAGCGACACTAAAATCATGCTCCCTGTTCAGAAATCGTAAGAAATAAGACATGAATATAATCCCGTAAATACAGCTTCATAACATGAGGCATCGAAAAAATTTTATTCTACATCCGTCCTGCTACTACATTTATTTAATCGCATTGCTTTAACTACATGCTACTGAGCCACTAATCTCAACCAAGGACCAGTTGTATTCTTTCTCATTTCCTCAGAAAGGACAATGATGCTAGACATTGATTTAGTATTAGTCTTCTGACTGCTTTCTTAAAAACAGAACACATGGAGAGTAAGAGTAGAAAAATCACCCTAACATTACTAGAGCATGAGCTAATTTGTGAAAAGCATGAAAGACCAAAATATCACCTAAAGAAAACATAATGATTAAAATTAATTAGAGCTTCTTTGTCACCCTAACATCACTAGAGCATGAGCTAATTTGTGAAAACCATGAAAGACCAAAATATCACCTAAAGAATACATAACGATTAAAATTAATCAGACCTTCTTTGTGTACTAAATAAATCCTATGAAGAACAGTTAAGTTCACCTATGCCCACAACACAATGAGTGAAGCAACTCAGGCCAACCGTCAACATATTCCATCCCCTCATTGAAATTTGAAAACATAATAAAGCAACTTGAGATATGAAAAGATTAATAATCATGTCTCCACGGTGGCAAGCAAATTCCATAGATGCTCAAAGGCTATTTCAATAATTGCTTTAAGAAGAACAATACAATGACCTACCTACAAACGACACAACCACCCATTTCAAATTCTGGTGCTTTAACAACCCGGGTCAACCTTATCTTAATTGGCCTTGCTGTAGAAGATAATCTGCTGCAGCCAGCAATATCTCTACAAGTTTGACAAAGCCAACAGCTTTCAGGAGCACACTGTAAGCCTAAACAAACTGCAGTTGAAAAAGACGTATTAATTAATCAAATACAAAAACATGCTTAAGCAAGACATTTGAAGTCAAACAAGCGAACACGTTAAGATGCTGTCAAAGATATGCTGCCTTCTTCCCTGATTGTCAATTTATTTAATATACAAAAGGAGACAGGCGGAAAGGCTTATCTGTTATTTCCTTCCTAAGAAAACAAGTAGGAAAATTCTGATATTTACTTCAGGTACCATAAAATAGTGCCTTCAAGAACACCAAAATATGGATACACACACACACAACATATTTTCATACC